TGTAATCTTGAAAAGCGAGTGATATTTACGCGCGGCGTTTTGAGTATTCCTACATGCGATGTTTATGTTGGACTGGAAACAACCGGTGCAGCGATGAAAATTGCGAGAGGGACTACTAACAATCAATAAAATAAGTTTAATTCGGTGAAACATGTACAGAGACAATAATTTTCATTCACGAAGAGAAGTATTGAGAGGAAAGTGTCTCAGAAAATCATGAGTCAGGCAAGCATAAGCTCATTTATGTTTTAAGCCGGCTTCCCGGTGTTCGCTCTTTTTCAAGATGAACTCGAGCCAAGAAAATCGCTCAGAGCTTTCTGTTTACAGCCAAAATCATAACTATATAATCTTCGGAACCTTTTCTTTGAATTTGCGGGTCAAAAAATGTCTAAAGGCTTTTTAAACCTGTTTCCTTTTGTAGGGTAGATCATTGCTCGTGTTTTAAGTTAAGCCGCATAATATAAACCATACGCTCGACTTCAGAAAACCGAAAAAAAAAAACGTCAAAAACAATAATGGCTCAAGCTTACCAGTCGAGATGCGGCTGCTGAAGGTCATCAAGTGTTCCAGAATCGCTTGAGACTTTTCAACGTTCTTACGCCTCAAGCAAGGGCAAGTGAGTAAGCTCATTTTTGAAAACGATGCCATCCGAAATCGGATTTCCGATGACTTTGACAAGCGGTGCATTTGTCAACAAAAAGCGCAATAAACAAACCAGCCACGAATTACAGAACAATCTTGATAGCAGCTGTATTTCATTTTGTACACCAAGTAGAAAAAGACAGTTTAAAACATCACAAGATGACACAAAACTCTCTCAGTTCCAGCTATCAGTAAGCAAGTCTCCAGACGCTGCAAAAATTTTCCGCATAAACTCACCTGTCAAATTTTGACCAATCAGAATATAAAAATTGGACGTAGAGCGTGATCAACGCGTGACAGTGAGAAAAGTCAAAAGCGATTGCCTTCCCTGCATGTAAATGTAAAAGCCGGTTGAATTTTCGTGTCCGAGTTCAGTTCGAAATCAACATTTTAAAAGTGCGGCTCATGAAACACGTCTTATTTTATATGCATTTTAAAAAAATTCAACTTGAGTCTGCGATCATTTGAAAAGTAGCAGCTTGTCAGCGAATACCTTCAAAATATTACTCGAACTCAGAGGGTCGATAGCTGAGCCCGCGATACGGTCAGGCGATACTGGTCAGCAGAAACACTGTTTTGACAGCTGTCAATTAATCAAAACATGGATGTACAATATCAGGTTGCAGGCTCCCAAACTAGCTAGAAAGTGTGAGATTAAACATTGGTATGCCTGTGGTGCGGACGGACGGAGTGTCGGGTGGTCGGTGTACGGTCACGTGATTGCCGAATTTTCTAGGATGGAGAGATTTTCTATAAAGCTATGGGGCTTCAAATTGAGCCCGTGATCAAATAAACACTACGTGACCTCAATAGATAGAAAAATGAGCCCGCGATCCACTCAAGTGATGATGGTCAGCGTATACTCTAGTTTGAGAGCTGTCAATTAACCTTCATTACAATGGCGAATATTCGAATTAACTGACTACGAGTGTGAGTAGGACATTTCCGTCCGGCATGTACTGGAAAATGCCAGATGGTGTACCTGAGCGAACCTGAGCCCTCGTTATTAGTCTTCTGATAGCGGTCTGCACATTTCCCATTTTGACAGCTGTCAATTGACCTTAATTTGGCCTGCCAATGTAACTTTAAACGACTGTCAGCCAACTGACAGCCTTGCCCGGCGTAGTTTCGTTTTTATGTTGAATTGGTAAGTGTGACATATTATATCAGCTTATATATAGGGGCAAAACGACTGGTCTTTTATCTGAGCCCGCGAGACGGTCATGTGATAATTGTCAGTGGATGTCTGATTTTGACAGCTGTCAATCTAATCGTACTCATACGGATGGCTTACATAACTAAGAGGCTAATCAAGTTGTGCAAGATAAATTGTGACATTTGACATCGGCTTACATGAAGTGTGTGTACGGACGGGCGTACGCTACGTCATAACCAAATTTTCTGGGATAGATGGTTTACCAAATTTTCTTACCCATGGTGCTCCGCTTCGCGCGCGCGGGAGCTCCGCTAATAAGGCCTATTAGAGCACATAATTATATGTTGTAGTTATTTTTTTTCATCTCGGGCAATTTTTGTTTTTCTTTTGTTTAAATGCATGCTAATGAAGTTGACCCAAGAGAAAAATGAAAATTACCTGCGATAAAAACAATTAACTACAACATATATATGAACGATGGAAGGTTATTCAAACATTGTAGCTTATATTGTGGGTACATCATGTTATTATCCATTAAAAATATTTCGACGTGTCTGATTGGCTCCAGTTCCACTGCTAATTCTCCATGACCAACTGGCGCTAACCAAATTTGGAAGATGCAAGTAATATACCATAGGCGATATATTTGATCGGAAACGAGACTGCGTGGGCAGCAGACCATCGATCAACATCGTTTCACTCCAGGCGCGGCCGCGTAGCCGTTTACGGTGCGAGTGAAATGAAAAAAAAAAAAAAAAAATGGCGTTCAGGGCTATCCAAAGACGAAATAGCAAGAATACGCAAAACACATTGCCATATGGATTTTATCTACTTTTGAGGAGTAAGTTGCAAAAAAAAAAAACAAAGAAGCAAACAAAAACCTCTGACGGTATTTATGTCCATAAACCGTGACAAGAAATAGGCAACAACAACAATGTCTTTATTTAAAGAAATATAAAGTTTACAATACTTCGTGTCCTGCAAATAGCTATAATGCTAATCAGGGCAGGACAAGACTTTAAATAAAGGCGTTATTAAATTGCATAACAAAAAAAAGAAAAGAAAAGAAATACAAAAACATACAGAAAGAAACACCTTACATATAAATTCAAGAACAAGGGATTTCGGTATTTGAAAAGGAGGGAAGTCTACCAGGAAGTAAGCTTGTTACGAACTTAGAAATAGTTTGAATAAATAATAAAATAATTATTGAATTCCGCTTTCGTATGATATAAAGAATTATGTCGGTCTCGGAGGCTGTTATGCATCTCGGCCTTTACCTAGGTGGATAACAGTCTTCTCGATCTACATAATTCTTCACATCCTACTCAGCCTCATTCAATATTATTGCTAAATAGTCTTAATGCGATGAAACGTCCATGCGCCTTTTTTCAGAGGAACGGTCAAATGGGACAAAGACACTTGTTGAATGGCAAACGACGCTGTAGGGCATGCAAAACAGACATTGCATCATTCAAAAAGCTAATCTTCTTCCTTTTCAAGGTACCACTGCGTTGTGTTGCCTTCCATCAAGGTGTTCTTCTGACATGTGACCGTCTCTGCAGACGGGTATCGAACTAGTCAAACATCAAATGTGCAGTTAGCTGCATCGGATGTTGGAATGATAGGGCCTAATCACAAAAGTGAAACAACTGACATGTTGGCGTACTAAAAACTCCTTTAGGAATTGAACTTTTTGGGGGTAAAAAAATTATTTTGTTACAAGAAGTTTGCATGGCTGCTGACCACATGAAAGGAATGATCTATAGGAACAAATTTGATTTGCAAAAAGACATTATAATGAAAAAATAATAAGAAGAAAAAAATAAGAAAGATATACAGAACAAAAAAGTTTAAAAACACACGAGAGCTTACAACGACAATATCTTAATAGAGGTAAATGTCTGCAGCCTAAAACCTAAAGCAAATGGATAATTGCCGTACTTTGCAAAATAGCAAACAGTGTTTCCGGCAGTATTTTATCAACAATGTTTCGAGTTGCGCCAACAAAATATCCACAACATCTTCCTCTCTCCATCCCACATTAGGTAACAGAATTAATGAAAAAAAAAATACTCTTAATAAAACCACGAACTATCAAAGAACTTTAAGCCATTTTTTTCCAAATCGTCCAACTCAAGAAACTACCTATGTATAAGATAAGAATCCTGTTGTGCGATTATGTCTATACCTCCAGTAAATGTTGTCATAAACATCTCGCTCGCAAAATATTTGGAAATATTAAGAAGTTACAATAACACCCAATCAAAAGTGGACTAGGGGGTTTGTAAAAACGTTAGATGTAGTAATTGCCAAAGCGATAGTTTTTTTTATTGAATCAGGTTATAATATTTGTGATTCTTGTGGGACAACTAATGGTCATGTTCTCGGTTATTTTGACTTGAAAGAGTACGATCGATTTCATTTTCGAAAGGAGAGTATTTATCAGAGAAAGTATCACTATGAAAAAAAGGTTGATCAAGTTTCCAGAAGACTACATCTAACTGAGGATCAAAAGTGTGAACTGTACAATAAACTAATGAATATAGATAACCACGTTGTGGAAATACTAAACAATCAATTCTGTAGAAAGAAAATGGTAAGCATTTTTTATCTAATCAAAAAACTTTTGAAAGAAATGGGGAGTGAAAAGTATAAACTAGTTTATGTTAAGATTTCTCCCCAAACTTTGGAGAATTATGAAAAGTGGTGGGATAGTTACAAATCACTCCTTTGTGAAAGCACCAGTAAACAATTCCAGTTAGATAACCAAGTACTTCACATTATTTAAACGGTGTGTTTAAAGTATATACACATCCTCTACCAATTCTATACTGTTTCCAGAAAGCATGAAAAGCGAGACTAAATATTAAATGATTAGCAAGAACAGCTGAGTTTGATCTGAGGGAGTGTCTCGCGTCTGTTAGTTTATAAATAATTTGGTTTATGTCTAGTTTCTGTGTGAAATACTTTGCATACAAAAACTGGTAAACAAGACAAGCTTTAATAAAGTTATCTGGATAAAATTGTGTTTTGTTAGAGGGAAAGTAGAAATTTACGTATTCTACAATTGTACTAATCACTTTCTATCTTATGTGTAGATAGAAAATGGTTTAAAGTTTTGTATAAAATAGGCTTAAAGAGATAAAAGTAAAGTATAAAAATGAGGAATATAATAGAAAAGAAGTTCTTTAGTGATAGGTTAGAAATAGTATTATCTTCTTTTATTGACAATAAACAAAATGTTTGGTTTAAGGGTAAGGATGTTGCCCAGATTCTAGGATATCGTGACACTAAAAAGGCTATTAAACAACATGTCAATTAATAACTTCAAAAGCTGGGGGGTACGTTTCACCCCCCCAAGTCCAACAAAATGAAACCAAGGGCCAAAAAGCTGCTGTGGACGTTTCGCCCCCTCAGGTCCAACAAGGTAGATGGTACACATTCATCAATGAGCCCGGCTTTTATGAACTTGTATTTAGTTCTAAATTAAAAGCAGCTAAAAAATTCTGCCATTGGGTATTCACCACAGTCCTTCCATCTATCCGTAAATACGGCTACTACAAACTTTTTAAAGATGAAACTAGAGCAAACCAAAGAGTTATAATTGGTGGTAAACACCCAGTGTTTACTAATTATGCAGCTTCTAAAAATGGTGAAATTGTAAATGTAAAAACTGGAAAAATTAAGAAGATGACAAACAATGGTTTTGGTTATTTATTTTTTACTTTATACGATAAAAAACTTGAAAAACCTAAAAATTATCGTCAGCACAGGTTTGTTTACGAGGTATTTAAAGGAGTAATTCCAAGATGCTTAGAGATTGACCATATTAATAATATTAAAACAGATAATAGAATTAAAAATTTACAAATAATAAGTCATAAGAAAAATTTAGGAAAAAGTAAAAATAAATCAATTATTTCTATTAATATTAAAACTTGCGAGAAAAAAAGAATACGTTTCTATTACGAAAGCTGCTATTAAATTAGGTATTAGTATTTCATATATTTCTCAAATTTGTAATCAAGTAAAAAATTATAAATCAGCACCTTCTAAGAAAGACGGTAAAAAATACACATTTAAATTCATTTAAATTTCTAAATAAATATATTAGAAATTAAAGGGGGCGCCAAAACGACGGGTCCTAGTTAACATAAATTTTTTATTATACCTACTAGCAAATCTATCTGCTATAGGAGTTTGATCAATTATCATTTCATCTATCAACTTCATGCGTTCGATAAACTCTTGTTTGTTAAACGCATCGCCCTGAAGAGCTGCACGGAGTTCAACTAATACTTTTTCATACGTAGTAAATGCAATCCTTGACATTTCAATTTTTCTCTTATAATTCTTTTTCTTTCCAATTCCCGTCACGAGTAACTCCAGCACCATTTACAACCCCGAGAACAACAGGGTTTAGGGTTATTCCACCAGCAATAGTTCCTATTGACACCAGACATATTCCAGATATTGTAAAAATATCATCAAGAAATTTATAACTCTGATAAGACCGCTTAAAACACCAGTATTTTTTGTGATAGTGACTATAAAAGTCTTTGAGACATCCAACGTCTGATTCTGCCAGAGATTTATTAGTTTGATTGAATTCAAAGATATCCTTCATTTTATTAAATTATTATGTTAATGCGGCGTAGCCAAGGGAGGGGGTCATAGGGGGAACCGTAGGTTACCCTATACTATATAAGATCCACTTAACTTTTCTTGAAGCATTACTTTGTGAAATTGCTCAGAATCAAAGTCGTAAAAGTTTGGAGAATACATTAATTTATATAACACTCCATATTCAGCTGTAAACTTCCAACGTTGATTAACATTGTATTGAACGGCTGGTATAGTTAATGTTTAGCTGTAGTTACTTATTTTAACTTTTGTAACATTTGCATCAAAATTTTCTGTTAGCCATAAAACAATTATTTTTCCATTAAATCTACTTAGCATGGTAAAATTTTGAGTTGCTTTATTGATAGTTAAAGTTACTTTATTGTTTTTTTTATCATAATTTAATTTAAATAAAATATTATTGTTTGTTGATAAATATTTAGTTAGGCTCAAATTACTACGTAACGAAAAATGAAAAACAATACATAAAGTAGATTTCGAAGAATGAGAAGGAGAAAAAGTAAGATCATAATTATTAACTAATAATCCTTTATCGTATATAAATCTTAGGTCTTTATTAGGTGGTAAAGTAATATTAGGCTTTACAGAATTAATAACAACTCCAGATGAGCCTATATTAATTCCATAACTATCCGCATTAGTAAAGTCATAGACCTCACCAAAGTATAATCTGTACAAAGCATTTTTAGTAAAAGGAGCTTCTTCTTTTACTAATGCAACTGTTGCAGCACTATTATCATTTTGTCGGTCAAGTTTGATATTTTTAATTTCTTTTTGATTTGCATTAATATCAACATTGTACACCACTTCTGTTGGTTTGACATCAAATGCGGTGTGATAGTCGTAAACTTTATCTGGATCGATATTGCTAAATGTACCCAAAATTCCATAAGCAATCATATAAACTCCTGAAAACTGTCTCGGATACACAGCCAGGTCAGTTCCATCTTGTGGTATATTAACCAAAATGTGAAGAAAGAACTTATTACCGGATGACAACTTTCGAAAATTTACTATTATTCTATGGTAATACATAAATTGTGTTTGCCCCTTTGAATCGCTGTACCTATGGGAGAGTTTCCTTACAACAACATTTCCAATTGATAATCCTGTTGAAGTTCCTTTATTCACAGTTATTTGAGACCTATGCCACAGTTGATAATCAGTGTTGAGTATTTCCAAACGCAACGTGTAATCAGCATTTGCAGTTAACCTGTAAAAGTTGATTCCCATTTTGTACTTATATCCACCTTGAGAACTTTTGTTTATTGTTACGAAAATTACTTTGTGGTTATAGTTATGAAAATTACCTTTAGAAGGAGATAAGTCTCCTATTCTTGTCACAAAAAAAACTATTTCCACCATCTGTTTCATCAGTCCATTGAGACCCACTAGACATAAGATAAGCCAACTGGTCGTTGTAATGACTTGGTTGTACTGCAGTGTGATGAACTAGTTTGTCGACGTAATTTTTGGTTACTGCTTCATTGTCTTGGGTTGGATTACTCAGATTCTTTATTTTATGGTTGTTAAGATTCAAGTCTCCAGTCATAGCGAAGGTACCATCTTTTTCCAAATAATCACTCAAATCTGGACTTCCAGTATTATCATCAACATACTTTTTGGTTGCAGCATCTGTGTTTGATGTTGGAGTTGCTAGACCAACTATTTTTTTGTTTCCAAGATCTAGGTTATTAGTCATTGATACACTTCCATCTTTTTTTTTATAAAAGAACTAGTATCAGGTATTAAGTCATCCACATATTTTTTGGTTGTTGCATCTGTGGGGTCTGTTGGTGGTTTTAAATGAATTATACTTTTATTATCCATGTTTAGATTATTAGTCATTTTATTTGTTCCAGCAACGTGGAGATACTTAAAATCTGTGAAAGCTAATGGTGTTGGTTGTTTTCCACCCGTTGGAGCTGGTAGATTTAATATTCGATTGTTGTCCATATCTAGATTTCCAGTCATTTTTTCTGTTCCATCTAGATTTAAAAAATTATTATCTACATAATATTTTGTTGCTGGTTCACTGTTTGATGTAGGTGTTCGAAGATTTAGTATTTTGTGGCCGCCAGTGTTGAAGTCTCCAGTCATTGCAACAGTGCCGTCTTTTTTGATGTAATCATTTAGTTTGGTGATAACCAAATTGTCAGTGTATTTTTTTGAAGTTGCATCACCATCAGCTGTAGGATCACCAAGATGAGTTATGCGATAAGAGCCAAGGCTTAAATCTTGTTTCATTGGTTTTGTTCCATCAGTTTTTAAAAAATTATTATTACTGTATGATTTTGTTGCTGCCTCATCTGCATCAGATGGTGACTTAAGGTTTAGTATACGGTATGTATCCTTCATATCAATGTCTGAATCAACTGTCATTAATGATGTTTTTCCATCCCCAGAATTGTCATCAACATATTTTTTTGTAGCAGCATTAGTATTAGAATTAGGTGCACCAACATTTGTGAGTCTTTTTTTATTCATATCATAATTACCATCTGCGGTAAGACTAAAACCAACTCCTGGAGTACCTTAGATTCCTTTAGCAAAAGGATGATCAAAAGATTGTTCGTTAAATATACCCATTTTAATTATTAGGCTATATTACCAATAAAGTGTTTTGCAATACGTTTTTTTGGTTTATCAACTTATAGGAATGAATACGGTTTTCTTGTTGCGGATTTATAATCTTCTTTATTAACTCCTAACTCAGATGATATTCTGTTGCTCTCCCTCGATGATGGAAATTCATACAGGCAGTAGTGAGAACAATTCAGTCGAATATCCTTTGGAGTTTTGTAAAATGATTGACTGAGGTAGATTACAGAGCAATTCTTATGTCGCCCTTGAATGAAATAATCAATAAGTTGTCTTCGGTTTTTATCACATACATAGTCATCAAATATCACAAGTTTTTGGTTGTCTTCATAATCCATTTCTGACACTGGGGTTATTTCATCATTACTCACATGAAGTATTTCGTATCCAACTTTAGAACTTAGTTCTCTCATTTTTTGCATTAATGGCTTATATTTATCCTGCTCTAAATTACGCGCATAAAGATATATCTCATCGAAGTACAACAGTGGTTTAATGAACATGTGGTACAACAGATTAGTTTTACCACTTCCACTGTTTCCACAGATTCACATTCGAAATGGGTCTGATGGCATGTAAGTAAATAACTGTTTATATTTTTTTATCTGGGTTGTCGCCACTATCATAGTTTGGTATTTCCATTTATCTAATATGTACATTATCAGAACTGCTAAGGAATTCATACCTGGAAAATATTGGTCAAAGAATATCTTACCACTGATGCAATGAAATACTGCAAGAGAGTGTAAAGGTCAGAGAGGGAAACTCCTTTATGTGGTTGTGTTCCAACTGAGGCTCTATTCTTGGCTTGCAACCACGTGACAAGGCGGCCCTGTTGGTGATCCGTTGGTGGTCAACACAATATAATTTTTTCTCGAAGAATTGAAATGAAAAATAGGGTTTTATTTCCCAGAGGAGAGAAATGCTTCGCCGTGACGCCACGTGCAAACTGCAATTTCGCTATACCGTGAATATATTAATTTTCATTGGAAAAGCGCCATGGAAAATGAGCGCGTCAGAATATAAATTAGTTTGTTTTTATTAATTCTAAAGGGCCAAACGTCCATGGCGCTTTTCTGTTTATTTATTTATTCTATAAATAGCGACAGTGGGCTTGACATGTAAGACAACCACACAAAGGACTTTCCCTCTCTGTTCTTTATACTTCACCTTCTTGAGTACCGAACTTCATTTTGATCTGATAATTATGATAATTACAGTTAAACTTTTTTTTTTCTATGCAATGTGTAGTTTCTACCCCTCCCCTCCCCCCCCGGCCCTTTCTCCTTCCTTGCCACGGAGGGCAACGGAAATTCTGAGTGGAGGGAGGAGTCCAAGAAGAAGCTATTTTCATATCATAATTATCAGATCAAAGTGAAGCTCGGTACTCAAGAGAGTATAAAGAACAGAGAGGGACACTATTTTGTGTGGCTGTGTTCCATGTGAAGCCCACTTTCGCTATTTATAGAATGAATGAATTTTCAAGAAAAGCGCCATGGAAAATTAGCGCTTCAGAATATAAATTTGTTTTCATTAATTCTAAAGGAAGGAGTCTGAGAAGAAGCTATTTTCCTTGGGCTCCAAGTAATATTGAAGGGTTATCTGAAAAAAAAAAAACAAACAAACAAACAAACGAACAAACAAACAAACAA